ATGGTTCACAACAAATGTTTCCTGGTGTAGTACGCTATTTTGATAAATTTAGCGGCATTAAAGTAAAGGTTTTAGATTTGCAAATACCTCCCCGGAGAAACATCTGTAAACTCACCTTACAATATTCATTTAGGCTAGGCCTATTCTATAAATGTTTAAAGTTAATAAGTTAACAAAGATAAGGATTACAAAAGGTGTTTTATTTAAACAAATGAACAATTAACATGCAATGAGAAAAGGCTTGACGTTACAATGAAAGGATTGACAATGGTGTATGGGGTTAAAATTAAATTGAAATAAAAGATAAATTTGAATAATAACTTGAAGGTTCAAATAATTTAGATGTGATCTATCTCAGGGTAGGGTGTCGTGCTGGCTTGAATGCTGATAATTAATAAATTTAATAGCGTCCAAATAGGCCTAATTAAAGTGTTAAATTTACACAATCTCAACAATGGAAAATCTAATTTTGGTGTTGTCCAAAAGGTAAGTCCAATTAGTATAAAATTTAAAAGAGTTTAAAGAAAAGGTTATACTTAATTTTGAAGATAATGATTGAGTTGAGTCCTCTTGAGGTTTAGGCTACTATATGATATAACTTGAAACTTGAAATGAACTTGATTCTTGATAAATGAATTTGATTTAACTTAGGTAAAAATGTTGAGTCCTTCTTCTAATAATTTCAACTTCTCAAAGGCTTCCTTCTCTCTCAATTCCAATGTTCACATCACTGATTGTTGAACACATGGGATCACTTTCACTGCTTCTTAAATTTTGATTCCTTATGGACTAATTTTGAAATTATATTATAAGAAATTTTGATGTATTGCAATTCTCTTACATATTTAATAAATAATTAGGTTGTGGGTGTTGAAAAAAAAATATAGGCTATGGAATGAATATTATTAATGATTAATTGAACATATTAATGAAATGATATACCTAAATTAGGAAAATGAATATTAGGGCAGCCTTTCTGAGGAGTGATTATTAGGTGTATGAATAAAAGTTAACATTTAAAAAAAATTTAATACTAAATAATGAATGAAATGAAATGAAATATTACAATTTATCTCCTCAGAAATTTGTATGATATGGAATGAAGGACAAATTTCGAACGAATATGAAATGGAATTCATGAATCATTTAGTATGAATTATATTTAAAGCTAGTTATGGGTCACATTAAATGATTGATATTTTTGGATGATGATGATTAGAAACTTCTTAATCTAAATTTACATAAACACAGGAACAAACATAAATGGGGAAATTAGTGAGGTCTAAGATAGTTCATGACCTGACACAGGGAAATAGCAATAGAAGCAATGTTAAGGATATGTTTTCACAGTTTTCACTTGGGAAATGGGGAAAGGTACACGCACTCGCGATTAAGGTTCATGACGATCTCCTCTTATATAATTTATGACACTTGATTAATATGGATTGAATCGGAATTTATTTACACAATGTTTTGAGAGTTTATGTCGCTGAGATATTCTTCACCATTTGACGTCTCCTCTTCTATAATTGGTTCTATGTATCGTTTTAAAGCAGAGATGTGATATGGTCCGAGTAAAATATCTTAATTCTCTCTTGTTACATGATACGTGGATTTTCCTAATATTTGCTTGATGAAGAACGGTCCTTCATAAACTTCGAAAAGTTTTGCTGTTTCTCCATAGATGGCTCTGGAGAGGGGATGTGTTTTTATTAATACTTTGTCATTTATTTTTAATGTTTGAGGTTTTCGATTTTGATTTAATTTTGCTGATCTCTTGAGTCTTATGGTATCCAACCTACGCTTAGCAATCAGAAGCTTTTGTTCTATAGGGGTTTCGGTGTTGAATGGATTTTCAGATAAATATTTCTCCCAAAATCGGCGATCTCTAACACCAAATTGTAATTCATTGGGTGTGAATCCGGTTGATTCATGGTAAAGCTCATTGAGACCTGCATTAATGTCAGGGATATATTTTGTCCACTTCTTGTGTTGATTGGAGCAATATGTGCGCAAACATCGCTTTATTTCACGAATCGGTCTTTCGGCAAGATTATAACATGGATGGTACACTGGATTAAAGATTAATTCAATATTATTTTGTTCCATCTTATGAATATATTCTCCGCTCTTAAATTGGGTTCCATTATCTGACTGGATTCTTTTTGGATATCCATAATTTGGGAAGTGCAGTGTAAATAACTTGTTTAATATTGTCTTAGTATTAGCTTTTTGCATGGGATATAATTTTACAAATTTTGTAAATATATCGATGACTATAAGAATATATTTAACGTTTGACACACTGGTAGGAAGAGGTCCGATGATATCAACGGCAAGTTGTTCATTCTTTCCTGTACATAGCACTCCTTTCGCTGTAGCCATCAATGGTTGGTTACTGATCTTACATTTCTGACAAATATCGCATGTAGATAGGTATTTCCTTATAGTTCGATTCATGTTACGAAATATGAAAGTTTCTTGCAATAACTGAAAGCATTTTTTGGCTCCGCAGTGTAGGTAAAACAGATGACATTCCCATATGAGATCCTTAATCATACAATTAGGAACAACAATCAACCATTTGTCTCTTAACTTTTGATAAAGAGTATTTTTATAGATGCGGAAATTATTTGATAATTTTTGTGCAAAATCTGAATTTGGTTGTTCTTCAAGTATTTCAATTATAGGTTGTAGTTTAATATCTTCTCTCTGCAGTTGTGGTAGATTTCGTAATGCACTCTTCAGTTGTTGATCGGGGATGTTTTCAATGTAGTGAATCGTTAATTCCTTTGGATTGTTATATGAGATAGTGGATTGGTCGATTGAAAGGCGACTTAGTGTGTCAGCAGTAATGTTATCTATACCTTTACAATGAACAATTTTGAAGTTATATTCTTGTATAGTGAGTATCCATCTGGCTAATCGGTTATTTAATAGGCGGCAAGATTTTAAGAAAGTAAGTGCGTGGTTGTCTGTGATAATAGTTAATTTTGTTCCAAGGATGATATATCGAGACTTCTGTAAACAATAAATTATGGCAAGGAGTTCCTTTTCTGTCGTAGTGTACCTCTGTTCGAATGGTTGAAGTGTTCTTGATATAAACATGATGGCAGCTTTCTCTCCATTTTCTCGTAACTGATATAAATGTCCACCTATTGCATAGTCGGAAGCATCAGTCTGTAAGAAGAACTCTTTAGATGGGTCAGGATGTGTTAAGGTATTAGTTTTTAGAAATAGTTCTTTAATCTTCATAAAGGTGACGTCATCTTCTTTGGTCCAAACAAATTTGTTTTTCTTTGAAGTTAGTCGCATCAAGGGTTGTGTGGTTGCGGAAAATTTATCTATGAACTTGTTGTAATAATTTATACTACCAAGGAAAGCTTTAAGTTGAGTTCTGTTTTTAGGGGTAGGGAAATTCAATATGGGTTCCACTTTGCTCTGGTCCATTTGAAGTCCATCATTTGTTAACGTGTACCCTAGAAATGGTACAGAATTTTGGCAAAACTTTGATTTATTGAATCGAACTGTCATGTTGGCTTCTTCTAATTTCTTAAATATATATTCTAGATGTTTTATGTGCGACTCAAAATCTGGTGAAATTATACATATATCATCTACATAAATTGCAGTAAAATCTTCAGCTTCTGAATCAAATACATTGTCTAGTGCTCGAACCAAGGCGGCTTGTGAGGTAGAGATACCAAATGGTGTTACAGTGTATTGGTAGGTTTTGCCTCTGAATTGAAATGCTGTGTATTGTTTGGAATTTTCAGTAAGTGGTATTTGCCAATATGATGCGGTAAGATCAATACTACTTATGAACTTTGCATTTTTACATTTCCCAAGAATCTCATTTACACTTCTGTTGCATTCAAAATCAGGAATAATAATCTCATTTGCTTTTCGGGCATCAAGACATAATCTGATTTCTCCAGTTTTCTTAATGACTGGAATTATCGGGTTAATAAATGTACTTTTACTCCTTTCAATTACTCCTAAGGATTCCATCCTATCAATTTCTTTTTGTACTGCATCTTGATATTGTTGTGGCACGGGATAAGTTGCGCTTTTAAAGTGTTGCGGATTATCTACTCGCAAATCGTGAGAATATTTATTGCATATGCCTGGTTGTTCAGAGAAAATGTGTTTGTAATTATTTAATAATTGACTTAGAATTGTTTGTTCTTCCTGAGTAATACATGTGTTTGGTGCTAATGATGTATTAATCTCCTCAAATGTTAATGTGGTGTCCTTTGATGGATTACTTTGTTGATCATTGAAGTTGTGTGTTGTGCTATCATACTCATTATCTATTACGTTATTGTGGTACACATCGTACATCATATTATCAAAATTATCATTTATATTATTATTTGGCCTATGGCTATTATTAACTACTATTTGACATATTTGTCCTTCATGATGACACAAATTAAACTTCACTGTAACATTGTTATTATTGATTTGCATATTGATTTCATTTGTATTAAAATTCAAATCCATTTTAAGGGCGGATAGTACATCGACTCCAAGGATGACTGGCTTTATTAAGTTTGGCACTATCAAATATTCAGTAAGCACGGTATGTTTATTAATTGTGGTTGGGACATATATTGTTCGGGAAACACGCTTACTCTTTTCTCCTACAGCAGTTTTTATAACGGTATTATTTACAGGGAGTTCTTCAAATGGTTGTAGGTTTATTCTGTTTTCTTGAAACCATGATTCGGCTATACATGTAACTGACGAACCTGAATCAATTAAGGCATTTGTGTTGATGTTATTTAATTTTATGTTAATTTCTGGGCAGTTAATTTGAATGTAATTTTTGTTGACATTAGCTTCGGATTCATCTTCTAAGAGAAAGTTTTTATCACATAATATATTATTTGTCTGAATATGGTTAAGTATATGATTCCTAGATTGACCGAGGATTTCGTATTTTGGCGCTGTATTCAATGAAGAATCAGTTGACATAATTCTTTCTCGGCCGTAATCTACAGCGCCGAGTGGTTTTCCGACCTCTGTGGAGATCGTGAAACACGAGAACTTGAATGGTGGCTGTTTAGTTGTGGATCCATGGGTGGAGCAGTCGGGGCAATAGACAAGTTGGGATTTTGTCTAAACATCGCACATATTTGGTTTTGTTCCTTAGTAGGATGATTCCGATTATAATTGTAGTTTTGGCCATAGTTCCGGTCCGGGTAGTGGTCACGCTGGTACGGTTTGTTGTCTCGGTGCGCCCGTTGGTACTGTTGGAACTCATTACCATTGTTTCCGTTGTATCTGTAATTTTGTTTATTCCAATGATGTTGGTTGTTCTGTGTATAGTTATCGCTGTGTTGGAAGTTCTGGCGGTTCATCTTGGGCACGTAAGCTTGTTGGTTGGTAAATCGATCATGATAACGTTGCTGGTTCTGTATGTTAGGGCTAGACGGTCTGCTGTTCTGGTGACTGTTGTTGTAGCTCTTAACTTTCTTCGGTCCGTCTCGAATGTCATCCTTCTGTAGAAGTCGTTCCATGGCTCTTATTGTGGTGATATTTTGCACATTAACACTATCCTGGATGATTGGATCGAATCGCTCTGCCAATAATGATACGATCTCCTCTTCACTTAAACTATGGGAGATGGATTGCAATAAAAGTACACGTTCGGTTAAATATTCCGTACGGCTCAAAGTTCCATTAGCTCGATATTTTTCAGACTCAATCTTGGCTTTTATTCCTCTTTGGACGGCTTGACTCCAATATTTGCACTCAAATTCCTTAACAAAATGGTCCCAATCAAGAATGTCTGATCTGATTAGTTGTAACCATCGGGATGCAGGTCCTTCAAATGACGTTTCCAATAGGTCTTTAAGGTATTCGGTTTGATCGCAGTTCATATTCCTTTCGATCCCTCTCTCGTAATATCGCTTAAGTTTGCGCAGATATTCCATTGGGTTACCGCTTCGTCCATAAAATTTCGGCAATTGACGATCATTGTTCTCATTACCGCTACAGATTACCTGAATTGCACCTGCTTGTCCATTTATTGGGTTAGCTTGCTTTAAGTTGTTTACTTCAGACTCACATTTGATTAAATTTTGGTTGAGAGTTTGAATTTCGAGCTGTTGTGTTTCAATTAATCTAGTTTGTAGGGTGATTTTACGCAATACTTCATTTTGTAGGGCAGTTAAATTTATTTTTGAGTTACGTTCATTGTCAAGTTGTGTTTTAACTGTGATTTCTTCTATTTTCTGCTCAAAATTAGATTTATGTTCTTCTAACTGTGATTTTACTGTTGAGATTATTTGTTCTTGGAATTTGTTATGCTCTATTTCTGAATTAGATTGTTGTTTTGATATGCTATTAACAACAAATTGCTTCAACTGATTTTGAGAGTCTTCAATTTTTAACATTAGCCGATCATTTAGTTTAGCTGTTTCTTCAGTTAAAATACTTTGTGTTAATTTTATGGCATTTATTTCTGACTTTATTTCAATTTGACTTTCTCTAGTTTCACGTATTTGTGATTCAAATGCGTTTCTACAAGCTTGGATTTCTTGGTAGGTTTCGTTTATTTTATTGTTAAATGTTTGAATTAGTTTAGCTTCAGTTTGATTAATCTGCAGTTTTGTTATTTCTTGGATTTCTGATTTAGTTTCACGGATTTCGTTTTTAGTTTCACGGATTTCTGACTTTAATTCTGCAGTTATTTCTGACTTTAATTCAGCACTGGTTTGTTCAAACTTATTACTCAAGTTGGTCATAAGGTTAACTAACATGTTCATATCGATTGTGGGTGTCTGTACTGGAGGATTTGTGACGTTTAATTCATCAGTTGAAGTGTCGGAATGTGTAAGGAGCTCGTGATTCACATTATGAACGGACTGAGACTGTGTTTGAGTGATATCAGCTGTTCGACGGCTGTCTGCAATATCGTCTATCATCACATTTGTCGAGGTTCGGGGAACGTCGTTTAAGTCCGGTTGTATTCGGCACGACGGCACAATTGTGTTTTTTGTCGGTGGCGTTTCGGCTAGAGGCAGTTCGTGTGGCGGAACAAAGGCGGGTAAAGTCGAATGATCAACGCTGTCTGATTGGTCAATGGATCCGGTGAACGGTTGGTGGTCGTTGCAACTTGAGGCTTCTTCTCGGGTTTGTTGTTGTTCTGCTCGTTGCTCAAAATGGCTGCCGTGTGTTCTGTCATTTATGTCATCGTCGGCATCGTCACTTGAACTCGACAATCTATCCAGAGACGCGTAGTTTCGTTTAGGCCGTAAATTATACTTATTTTCCGACATTTTAATGTGAAATGTGTTAGGTCATGCGTGGTTATTAAATATGCGATGTTGTTGTGTTGATTATTTTGGGAAACAGGGGCAATTACGGGACAAATTAACAATGCAAGCTCTTAAATCTAACAAACTTATAGGCTAGTTATGGTGAGAATTGCAATAAAGTTAATGAGCTATTCAAGCCAACACGTTGGTGCGCCAATTTGTAAACTCACCTTACAATATTCATTTAGGCTAGGCCTATTCTATAAATGTTTAAAGTTAATAAGTTAACAAAGATAAGGATTACAAAAGGTGTTTTATTTAAACAAATGAACAATTAACATGCAATGAGAAAAGGCTTGACGTTACAATGAAAGGATTGACAATGGTGTATGGGGTTAAAATTAAATTGAAATAAAAGATAAATTTGAATAATAACTTGAAGGTTCAAATAATTTAGATGTGATCTATCTCAGGGTAGGGTGTCGTGCTGGCTTGAATGCTGATAATTAATAAATTTAATAGCGTCCAAATAGGCCTAATTAAAGTGTTAAATTTACACAATCTCAACAATGGAAAATCTAATTTTGGTGTTGTCCAAAAGGTAAGTCCAATTAGTATAAAATTTAAAAGAGTTTAAAGAAAAGGTTATACTTAATTTTGAAGATAATGATTGAGTTGAGTCCTCTTGAGGTTTAGGCTACTATATGATATAACTTGAAACTTGAAATGAACTTGATTCTTGATAAATGAATTTGATTTAACTTAGGTAAAAATGTTGAGTCCTTCTTCTAATAATTTCAACTTCTCAAAGGCTTCCTTCTCTCTCAATTCCAATGTTCACATCACTGATTGTTGAACACATGGGATCACTTTCACTGCTTCTTAAATTTTGATTCCTTATGGACTAATTTTGAAATTATATTATAAGAAATTTAGATGTATTGCAATTCTCTTACATATTTAATAAATAATTAGGTTGTGGGTGTTGAAAAAAAATATAGGCTATGGAATGAATATTATTAATGATTAATTGAACATATTAATGAAATGATATACCTAAATTAGGAAAATGAATATTAGGGCAGCCTTTCTGAGGAGTGATTATTAGGTGTATGAATAAAAGTTAACATTTAAAAAAAATTTAATACTAAATAATGAATGAAATGAAATGAAATATTACACATCAGATATTATTGTCAATTATTTGAAGGACGTGCTGTAAGAACATCAATTAACACAAAAAGTAATTTCATTTAGTGGAGATAACAGTAATACAAATTTTGGTGGTGCAGCTAGAAAGGGGAAAGAAAATGTTTATTTCAAACTAAAAGGTTTGTTAGGCAGAGATATTGTAGGCATTGTATGTGCAGCACATATAGTGCACAACGCCATACTAAGTGCATCAGATTGTTTGCCAGTAGATATAGAGGTTATTGTCGTTAAAGTGTATTCATTTTTCTATCTGTACACAGTAAGGGTGGCAGCTTTCAATGAAATGTGTGATTCGGTCGATATTGAGTACCACAAAATGTTGGGATACATCAAGACTCGCTGGCTTGCTTTAATGCCAGCAGTTGAAAGAGTTTTGAAGCTTTTCGTGCCACTTAAAGAGTACTTTCTTAACCAGCCGAAATATCCTGAGGAAGTTTTTTGGAAACCCACATTCAGAAGTATGACTTTATTTCATACATAGCCAAGCAGCTACGTTTCAACAAACTGTTTCAAATGTAGAAGGTGACAAGGTCTCAGCAATCGAGGTAACTGTTCAAGTAAAAAACTTGAAGGAAAATCTCAAACAGAAGGCCGTGAACAAATTTGTTCCACACATAGTTCGTAATTTGATGACGTAATGTTGCTCAGAAGAAGAAAAGCAAAGTATCACTAACACCTTTGTTTCGTTTTACGAGACATCACTGCAGTATTTAGATCAATGGACTATCCATTTTCAAAACTTGTAGATATTTCAATGGGTGATGTTGAAGAACACTCCCAAGTGGGAGGACATCCAACCGTCAGTTGACTATTTAATTAAGAATAAGTATTTTCCACCAGATTGTGATACTAAAGTATTCGATGAAATTGGGTGTGTGTTGAAATATGTTTGAATCAATGTTGTTAATTGGAACGAAGAACAAGTTGAAAAAGATTGTGTGACAGAGAAGTGCACGAGTTTTATGACTCTAAGCTTACTCAAGTAGGCCTAATTTTTCTTAACCGATTTTGACCATTTGCGTCTCATTGGAAAGAGTGTGTCGCGTAGATTCGCAATTTGTTTACATTAACTTGGGCTCTGCCCCTGTTGCTTTTAAAGCCCCCATGTAATTCTTATGAAGAACAATTTGTTTACACTGATCAGCTGGATAATTCAATTGCTGCTAATATTTATTTTTGCAATTCAATGCAAAGATTTACTGATTTGGTTGAAATTAAATATTTACTATTTAAATTTGTGTTTGTGTACATATTATTATTCCAAAATTTTAAGTTAAGGGAGGGGAGAGAAAGGGGGTGAAATATCTTACAAATTATAAGCTAAATACAAATATTTTTCGCCAAACACTTTATTTTTTCATGCTCTTCTATTTGATATGTCACAAGGGGTACCTTGCTATTTAAAAATACCCCCGCCGCAGCAAACCTGCAGACTAAGCGAATTTCCATTTGACTGATTGGATTCACACTGAAATGTCTACTTTAAAATATAACCTTTATTCCCTATTTAAATATAATAAGTTTAACAAGTACTTAGGTTTGCTGCATCAGGGAGGGTAAAACTGTTTTTTTCGTAAAATGTTAATAGTTGATAAGAAATAAAAACATTTTCCAAATTTGATCAAAATATTTTCATAAACAAGCAAACTACAACAGTTTTCTTATTCTCCATAAGAATAACATGGGAATTTAAAATTTACAATTTTTTGGAATTTTTGCCGTAACCATTAGGCGCAAAATAACGCTTCAATATACTAAATTATTTGTTTTTTTAAGCTCTACAGAATGGTTTGGAAAAAAATTGCTAAATTTTATGTTTTTTGGGTCAAAAATGGGAAAACCCCATTTTTACCCCATAAAACCCCCCGTAAACCCCCGTTCCCATGGTCCGATCATGCTGGATCGCGAACTCGTTCGAATAAACGTAGGTTTACACGTTTGTACCAAATTTCATCAAAATCGGATCATTTTTGCTCGAGTTATCGTGCTAACGGACACACACATATATATATATATATATATATATAAATCTGAACGGAAGGTGTTTTTGGCCTCTAGGGACCTCAAAACGAAGAAAAAAATCGGTCCCGCGTCCAGGTCTTACCATGAGTACTACGGTAATAGCTTATTCCCTATATGGGAAATTCGCTAAAAAATAAGTTCCGGGGGGATATCTTACAAATTTATGAGACAATTTTAAAATGTTTTTCACTAAACATTTTCGTTTTTCGTGCTCTTTCATTTGATATGTCACAAGGGGCACCTTGCTATTTAAAAAACATTAGTTGGTGGCGGGGGGGGAAGAGGCGGAATGTGAATGTAACGTTGAATTCAAAACAATTGGGCCCCCTACGTCAATATATAATTCCCGCAAACTGCATAATTCTATCTATTGCGGTTTTTACATAAATAAAGATGAAAGTAAAAAAAAACACCCTGTATTAAAAAAAAATTGGTTTTTCTTTTCCGAGTTCGTTTTGCTCATCTCCCTGACCGATTTTCATGATTGAGGTCTAAAACTGAAGGTATGCACGCACATATTTGCCATCAAGCATCAGCATATATTTATCTATAATCCCACTCGGTATATACGTAAACGAAATGTTCTCCCCATGTATTTCTTATTGGAGTTAAATTTGGTTTTCCTTTTCCGAGTTCGTTTGGCTCTTCTACCCAATCGATTTTCATGATTGAGGTCTCAAATTGAAGGTATGCACGCACAGATTTGCCATCAAAATTCAGCATATATTTTTCTACAATCCCACTCGGCTTGTACGTAAACGAAATTTTCTCCCCATGTATTTCTTATGGGAGTTAAATTTGGTTTTCCTTTTCCGAGTTCGTTTGGCTCTTCTACCCAATCGATTTTCATGATTGAGGTCTCAAATTGAAGGTATGCACGCACAGATTTGCCATCAAGCATCAGCATATATTTATCTACAATCCCACTCGGCTCGTACGTAAACGAAATTTTCTCCCCATGTATTTCTTAAGGGAGTTAAATTTGGTTTTCCTTTTCCGAGTTCGTTTGGCTCGTCTACCCAATCGATTTTCATGATTGAGGTCTCAAATTGAAGGTATGCACGCACAGATTTGCCATCAAGCTTCAGCATATATTTATCTACAATCCCACTCGGCTTGTACGTAAACGAAATTTTCTCCCCATGTATTTCTTATGGGAGTTAAATTTGGTTTTCCTTTTCCGAGTTCGTTTGGCTCTTCTACCCAATCGATTTTCATGATTGAGGTCTCAAATTGAAGGTATGCACGCACAGATTTGCCATCAAGCATCAGCATATATTTATCTACAATCCCACTCGGCTTGTACGTAAACGAAATTTTCTCCCCATGTATTTCTTATGGGAGTTAAATTTGGTTTTCCTTTTCCGAGTTCGTTTGGCTCGTCTACCCAATCGATTTTCATGATTGAGGTCTCAAATTGAAGGTATGCACGCACAGATTTGCCATCAAGCTTCAGCATATATTTATCTACAATCCCACTCGGCTTGTACGTAAACGAAATTTTCTCCCCATGTATTTCTTATGGGAGTTAAATTTGGTTTTCCTTTTCCGAGTTCGTTTGGCTCTTCTACCCAATCGATTTTCATGATTGAGGTCTCAAATTGAAGGTATGCACGCACAGATTTGCCATCAAGCATCAGCATATATTTATCTACAATCCCACTCGGCTTGTACGTAAACGAAATTTTCTCCCCATGTATTTCTAATGGGAGTTAAATTTGGTTTTCCTTTTCCGAGTTCGTTTGGCTCGTCTACCCAATCGATTTTCATGATTGAGGTCTCAAATT